TGCGATCGCCGTCTAGTACTTTGACAGTCGCGAGTTCGAGGCTTGGGTTGGACGCCTCTTAGGTCTAGGTATGTCTGGCTGACGACGGCTAATAAGCCAGAAATGGCCATTCATATCTCCATTGTCTTTGCCGGCAATAATATCTGCCTATACTTTGAAAGTCCCTATTCGGTGGAAATGCCATCCACGAGGATTGGAAACTGTCAGTGCCACCAGCCTTCTAATCCGGACTTTATAGTAGAATACCACTTTAAATAGACCACAAAGATAAAGTCGGCGACGAGAGTGCAAACAGGTAAGCAGAGAGGTGGCGGAGACGACGACCTTTTACCGCATTACCAGTGCGAAACCTTCATCATCAACAGTGGAGTTCGTCATTCAAGGTGAGGACTGCTGTTCGAAAATCTTAGTATCCGTCAGGTTAGCAACCCAAAGTAGCTAAGTTTCGTGGTGGTAAGGCGGGGCAGTTATGAATGTACATTAGCCTTCTTTCATGCTGCCGAACCTTTTGGCGAGATTTCAAATGTTTCCGGACCCGGTAGATCGTATCACACGGACCACGAGAGGAAAAATAGTCAATCATTTACAGTGCACACCTGCTTCTAGTGCTAATGGACCAACTGGTGAACTGTGTTGTACAAATAACCATTACTGTTGATCAAATTGCCGCAATTAAGGACTCTAGTGGGGACGCTCGAGTAGTATTGCGTCGGGCACAATAATGTGGTAAATGCGAGATCTGAGACTTTTGCAGGCATGTGGTAGCATATCAACTGCTAGCCCTTCCTCGCATTGGGAACGGCAGACATGACTTGGGACTTAATAAAGGCCTGTACGCGCCCTTCAGAATATGCGGTGCAACGCCTTAGCATAGGAAGCTAAACACACATTTCCTACATAGAAACCAGTCTAAACCCTACGACCATTCTCTCGAACGGAGACTCGACATCAAAGAGCATCGTTCTAGTCACCCTAGTGAGATTCATGTTCGTCGTGCTTCACCACTAGAAATCACTGTTTTGTCACAAACGCCAGCTTCCAGTACGGCCGCAAGTGCACACCCCGAAGTCGATGCCGGGACCAGCTAGGTAGACTAAGTTGTAGGGGCGTTTAAGGCCAAAACTAAACCTCAGATGCTCGAAAGCGCGCCTCTCATCTGCGCCAAAAATCTCTTATGCCAACGATATGTATGCAGCAAACTTCGGACGGTCCTGAGAATCTCTGCTGATAAAAGCATGAACTAAGGTCCCCTGTAGGCAGACTGGACGCAAACAGGTGAGATTGCACAGCCACCATTGACAGTTGGGGATCTCAACGGCTCTCTGATCGATCATCTCAATACTTAATCGAAAACAGCTTTGGTAAACTCGATAACACGGAAGTCGCATTGACTACTGAATCGAAATGACGCCTTCAGTGAGAGGAAACTCTGATGTCCGTTACGCTATAGAACTCGTTTTAGGTAATACTCGAATCCTAACAGTAAATGAATGAAGGATTCATCGACCAAGGCTAAACTCCGACGTTACCGCCTCGAAGGTCTCTTTGGAAAGAAGTAAAATTTAACAAGAGAACGATGACAGAGTTGGTATTCTATCATAGCACCACGGCAGCTGGTTTGTGTTTGCGACAGAGCGAAGCCGTAAACCCACATCCGTAACTTGAAACTCGGCCGTAATCACCAATAACGGAGAACCATCCGATTCCCTTACTCCAAGGGTCCTTGATTCGGATATCGTGGCTGAACATCCTACCATTCGGTTTGAAGATGCCGATACCTACTACTTTTCGACCCATGCTCGCGTTATTCGTGTAAATATCTGCTATCCGTTACAGTGGGCCATAAGGAAAACGTTTTTTCGATGAAAACGAAAAGAACAAGAATGACAGATCAGATGGTCCTTATAGAAAAATAGATCAACATGAACATATCTAAGTTAGGAGTAAATGCCCTAAAGCAGAGGGCCCAAAGTGCATGGTTGTTTTCAAACACAGGCAGCAGGTTCATCCAGCTTGTTCTGGGTCAAATCACTGAAGAAGTCCTTCTGGGAGGACTAAGGAATTGCCGTGGAATGCAGCAGGCACAAAATCCGGAATAGACGTCAGCGGACAGTGAGGTCGAAGGTAGCACCCCAATCAAATCTCACAAAACATGTCCAAAGAATAATCGCTGATGTAAGTATTTACATTATATACAGATGTACTTTGAATGTATGTACAGAATAATTCGAGACAACCGCAAAGCCCACCGACGCCATTCGGAGGAAACACGGTCATATATACATATTATACCAGGGTCGCCATCAGAGATACATAAAACGCTTTGAAACAGCTAAGGCCATTGAGCGTCCACTTATAACACGACTCTGGAAACATGACAGCTGTCCTTAGTGATCTTGGAACACCAAACGGTTGAAGTTTGGCTTGATTTTGAGGTTCAATTCCGGTGGAATCTTCTTACGGCGCGGCGGATTGGACGGTTAGTCGGTTGCAGTCCGTTCGATCTAAAGATAAGATATTAATTTAAGGAAGCAGGCGCAAGACTAAAGGGTCCTCAAAATAGCGAATCTTCAATGACATCTTTAAGCACCTTTGGATAATCCCAACAAATAATAGCTACTTTCAAGCACACATGACTCGAACACGACTGACGTGCTTGACTTGAATTGGTTAGGTAGGTCTAGAGTATACAAGGCATATGCAATGGTTTAAAGTTGATCTGCTATCACTGTCACACATTTCGGTGACAAGGATGTCCATAACTGGATCTCAGAAGCCAATAAGTGCAACTCCGAAGTCTGGGAGGCCACCCAATCCGTACAAAACCAGAGTCGGAGAACAGTTGTCTAATAAAATTTTGAAACAGCAGTCGGGCGGAACAATTTCTCCTACAGTTTTTTTCCAGGGATAAAATATGTAACATGGTTCGATAAGACAGGGTTCACTAAAAACAGATAAGATAGAAAGAACTACATACATCTTCAGCCAAGAACACTAAAAAGCCAAGCCTGCGTACAACAGTTGACAGAGCAGGCCCAGAAAAGTGAAACTTCCAAAGGAAAGTTTGACCAGATAGGCTGACCAAAGCATTTTGCAAGGGCAGTAAGGACTCAACACTGCACATGTCTATCAAACAACAGGCTTAGACCGTTTACATCGTACCGGAATCACCTTGAGCACTGAAAACTCGAACCCGCTAAAATATGTTGGGAAAAATATGACATTTAAGAACTATTGCGCACGTGAAACTGAAAGTTTATATCAGTAGCGCAGGTGGCCTGTCTAGTAAGTCTGAGGTCTGAAAGAGGATTACTAAGGGACTGACAATACTTGCTGGCAAGAAGCCACGGAAAAAAGAAGACCACTAATAACGCAACCTTACCTATGATGATCTTTCCCAACAGTGAATTTACCAACCATGTGAAGCTTA